AAGTAACTGACAAACCAAGAAATATAATCCTACTGTAAACATCAATGTTAATGCCTGTTAAAAATATGTTTCTAGTATGACCAATAGCTGGGCTACATCCTTAAAGAACCGGGGAACAGTGTAAATCAGAATTGTTCAGTGTTTGGATGGCAATAGGAGACGGTACGGGCATGTTTTCACTTTACTTGTGAGAATTCCCGTTGTGTTAGTCTTTCACATCCCATGTCATGCGAGAGTCAGAGTTGAGTCAAATGGTTCTTCTGTATGTTTCCACCCTGAAGATTTCTTCTTCTCTTGCAAACAGTGAAACTTTGCTTGGCCTGACTAGGAATAGTCCTGTGGCTTTTGTTTCAGTGGCATATGGTTTGCTGTGTACTTGGGTTTTTATTTTGGACAACATTTTAAAGGGAGTTGGACAAGGCCCAAGTGGATCTGATGGGAATGTAATAGTTACTTGTGGGTATGTCTACACTGCAGTCATAGGGTGTGATTGCAGCTTGTGTAGACAGACCCAAGCTAGTTTTAACCTGGCTAGCTCTGGTACCGGAGCAATGAATCCATGGCATCCCGGGGTTCAGCGCGGGCTGGCAGCCTGAGATAATACCCCTGGTTCCAGGTGGAGTTCTATAGCCCATGCGCCTCTGGTACCGAGTCAGCTAGATTAAAGCCAGCTCAGGCATGTCCACGTGAGCTGTAACTGCACCCCATGATTGCATGGCTACTATGTCCCTACCTTCCTAGCCTTCAGGTGTTGCCAGCTTCTTCCAGGCAGAGCTCATTACGACTTTTATACCATGGACCCCACAATTAGTCATTCTGAGAGGGCCTCGATGAGCCCCAAACACTAATGGTCGTCCCACTCTATTCTTGTTCCATCTCTGCTTTAAAGGAAGTTTCAGGTCCATGATGCTCCAGAGGAATTGGTGCAAGGGTTTGGAGGCAATTGTTGTTTCTGAGGACTAGAGGAACAGTTGCAAGTGACCTACTTCAGTGGAGGACCAGAGCGGGAGAGAGAATGGGAACAGGTGCTCAGACATGACTGTAATGGGGGGGCATATAAGATAGATTGACACCACCAGCACCTCTAACAATAGTTGGTGACCTCCTTGGATGGGTTGCAGGGGCTGCAGCCCAGAGGATGTCCACTGCTGACAAACACCAAGGAAGTATAGACTAGAGTTCTGGCTCCTATTTTCCAGGTCATCTTAATCATTACGAAGAAGAGATTCCACCACCTCTAGAGCCTGAGTAAGGTTACATTCTTCCAGAGCAATACTAACTTGATTTTCAGCATCCTCCACTTGTTTGCAAGGCTGGGCCAATTTATTTTCTGCTGTGTTGTGCTGCTGATGGTTAAATAGGTTCCTTCTGGTGCCTAGCGAGTGATGTTTTTTTTTTTCCTTTCCTTTGCCTTCCTGAATTTCTTTTGAAATGGCTTTGATAAATTGAATTCAAAACATCACAGGTAGAAAACATTAGATCTCCGAGAGGCTTTACTTTGAAAATGTAAGTAAAACTCAGATCACTGGCTTTTAAGAATTCCCATGCTGGGATATCATGAAACGTGTGATGTCTGAGCCCTACTAAAAACTCCCCTATCTGATCTGTTGGTTTCATGTGCCATGTAGAAAAGTGAGAGTCTGGTATTCAGCGAAAGGCTCCCTACATTATTGTCTACAATGTGGTATGCATTGTTTAGGTGGAGTTCAGAACCATTTGAATTAAATATCAAGGAGTCCAAGTCTAGCAGGTTATGGCTTAAATACCTATTTTCAGAGGTGCTGATCTAGCTATAGAAGTGCAAAGTAGTATTGTCATCATCAATAGGGTGAGTCTGAGACGAAGGAACCTGCTGCGGGGTGTGCAATGCAGAGCTGGCTTCCTCCAGTCTCTTACCTACTGCATGAAAGAAATAGTGACTGGGACAATCATTGTCCCTTTTAAAAAGCAATCCCCTCCAGTGCGCTGGATCCCCTGGCACAGGAGAAGCTGGAAATAGCTCCTAGCCGTGAGCCTGGAAGGGCTCATAATTGTACTATCTCAAGCAGGCACATCTCGTGGCAGAACGTAGACTTGTAACAGCCGTCAGTTGAAATGAATGGGAAACGGCAAGTCTCGGATGATCTTATATTCGGTCTGTTTTAGTTTGTCTGAGTCTCCCTGGGAGATAAAGAAACCTGCTTTCACTAGGAATTAAGAGGGGTGTGGTCAGGAGGGCAATGCGTGTAAATAGCCTGGGGCTGATGGGCTGAAATCACAAGGAGGTGGATCCATAGGCCTATGAAACTGGTGTGCAGTCCACCAGGAAAACATCTAGGTCAGCATTCTGAAAGGGACAGAATAGAACGTCTGTTCCTGTCCAGGCACTGCTAGCATCACTGCTTGCTGACGTGACTGCTTGGGATTTTCTATACTAATATCACCCTCTTCTTTATGATGGAGCTGTATATAAGAAGCACAGTACGATGCAGCCATGGAGTGTAAGGAAAATTCTGGCTAACGACATCAGGATTTACAAAAAGTACCAAGGAATCTTTAATATCTACAAAGATCAGATGGAAAATCAAATCCATTCTTCTGGGCTCATGTGAAACTCCCATGCTCACTGGGAGAGGAATTCAGCGAATGGGAAGACGGTTGAAAAGTTAAATTAGTGTTTGTTAAACTAGTGTTAAAGCAGGTTGGAAATTATTATGCATAAAAGGCCTGACCTTGTTTCATGCCGAAGTCTCTTTGGCATCCACAATATGATGCCGAGGTTAATTAGTCCCAGTACGGTATACTGATATTTGACCCTAGTGTAAATCTGGCATAAATCATCTGAATAAATGCAACTGAATGTGTGGCCCACACGCCGAGGTTCCCGTACGACAGTGTCCCAAATGCCTATTGGGTGCTTTCTTTAGTACATTGACCGCTGTTAGCAGCAGAATCAGCAGTACCAGCGTGTAATTAAATCCTCTGTTTTTAAAGGAATCCCCCCGCTTGGTCCTAGGTGAGACGTGCTTGGAGAAACCTTAAACTTTCAGCCTGATGGGTTGGGCAAAACAAAAACAGTTGGAGCTTTGTTTTAATAAATTTGTGCCTCAGCTTCCAATAAATGTGTGTGCTTCTGTAGAGGCAACGTAAATCCTCAGTGAAGGGTGATTACTTGGAAGCAAATCCATCACAAAGTTGAACACCTGCTTTAGTAAAGTTGAACATTACTAAAACCTGAGTGAAAGGTTTTAGTAATGGAGGGGTTTGCTTTTTATTTCTTCCTGAACTGTGACACATCTGAGCTGCAGAACTTCAAAGCAGGATAGGATACAGATTTCTATTTTTTATTATTATAGTCTTTCTTTCTAGACTGGGTTTTCATACTGCCAACTATATCCCTGGCTGTGCAGTTACAACTCGTAGGGAAGTGTCAGAGTCCTGGCAAGGGCAGCCAGGACCGAGGGTCAGAACAGGGTCAAACATGAGGCCAAGAATAGCGGAGAAGTTCATAGTCAAGTTCCAGGCTGGGGACAATACCAGGGCTCAGAGTCTGAGTCAGGTTTCAGGATCTGGGTCAGGAGGCAAGGTCCAAATTAAACCACGGTCAAAACCCAGTTCAAGAGCAGAAATCAGGAATGGTCGTGGCAGGAGACTACACTGTTGCCTGGACATGTCCTCAAATGCCCCTGAGGTTTATATACAGTAGGGAGCTAATGAGGCTGCTGCCTGTCAGACTCCTTGAAGTGGGACTTCCTGTGGTCTGTGTCCACAGTGGGACAGGGGTAGTGGAACATGAGCTGGTTACAGCAGTGTGGAGGTGTTTGCTGCCTGTCAGCTCTGCGAATCTGGGTTTGAGACCTGCTGGGCCTGGCAGAAAGGTAGTAGAAGTGGCAAACACACTTCCAAGGGCAGACTGACTTTTCTTCTTCTACTATAACCACGCCTGCCAAACTGATGACTCCTGGATAGCCGTGTTGGCAGTACAAAACCATACTTGTTGGCGCATGGGTGTAGGAATAATCTCCAACCTCAGCTGCTTTTGAAATGCAGGTGAACTCCTTCCCTCAGTGCTTTTAAACACACACATAAGAGTGGTCAAAAAGCATTTGGAATCCACTCTAGTTTTCTGAGGTAAAACCAGTCATTTCACACACTACTCAATGGACAAATATTTTCAGAAAGTGGGTCTCCAAGGGCTGAATGGCTGACAATAACATAGGACACATTTCAATTTAAAGAGAATTAGGCCCCTGTGGAGCAATCTTGTAATTTTGTAAACGTTTCTTCAAAATTGGGACCACCCTGGTTGCAAATTATTTAGTTGCGTTCTAAGTCCCGGGATGTTTTTGAACATTAACACTCACCCAGCAGGGCATGGCAGTATTGGAAATAGCTCTGAGCCGCAGTGTTTGAGAGCATCTAGACATTGTCCTCTTTCTAGGCACTATAGGAATACAGGATTGGACAAGCATCTAGCTCAGCGTCCTGTCTCCAGCACTGGCCAATAGCAGATTTGGTCACATTTTTTTTTCAAGCTTTTTTTTTTCTTTGACAAACAATGGCTTTTGAACCAAAATGGACAGTTTTTTGGTTTGGTCAGCATTTTCCAGTGTTTCAGTGAGAAACAGAAAACAAAAATATTTTGGTTTTGGTCAAAAGTTTTGGATTTAAACAACTGAAATTTTTGTCTAAAACCAATTTTTTAAATCAAAAAGGATTTTTGAAAACCAAACATTTTGTGGTTTCATTTTTTTGATTGAAACATTTTAAGAATTTTCTCTGGAAATTTTGAAAAATAAAAGAAATGTGTTTGAGATGTCCTGAAAATAATAATAAATAATAATAATAATAAATAATAATTGACCTTTTTTGGCCAACTCTAGCTACTACCAGCTGCTTCAGAGGAAGGTGCAACAAGCAATTATAGCAAAATCTGTCCTAAGGGCAAGTTCCTTCTTAACCTTCAAGAGTTAAAGTTTGCCTTATGCCATGAAGCACGAGGGTTTATATCCCTTCCAAGCTGCCCATTGTGTACTTTATTTTGATTACATAGAATTTAATTGATGCATAGAAACAAATTAAGGATCAAGGAAATCACAACATTGCTTGAGTTTTGTTTAGTAAATGGAAACAAAGTCTGAATGCTGAAATCTCTTTGGTATCTGCCATATGATGTCCGGGTTAATTAACTACAGGGAGTGTACAGCAAATATTTTCCTATATACCAGCCTATCTCAGATGTACAGGTATAGTTTATCCTTAGCACCATTAAGTTTTTCAGCATAAAGCACAAACAGTATCACTCAGACATTAATTTGGCACTGATGTGAGTAGTTGTTCTTCTTAATATTTAATATGTCTGTTTATGTTGCAAATAGAAAATTTGATCAGTTTTGTTTATGGCTACCTAAAGGTCAATATTCAAACTGGAAATCAACTGCACTTAGGAAATAAATTGAGTGCCTCTTGGAATTACTTGAAAAAGTCTTAAAACATGACACCAGGTGATGCTCACCGGGGCCCAAATGCAGCCTGTGTCCTCCTGGACTTATTTATTATAGGCCACCGAGTACGGGGGGTGGGGAGGGTGACTGACGATGGAGACACGCTGACGGGCAGATGAGGCAAGAGTTCCAGAAGTAGTCTGGTGGGCCCTGTCCTCCGGCAGATCTCTGGAGACAGGCAGACTTGAGAAGGCCGAGCCTCTTGTCTCTCCTCCAGTGGAATAACAACACTCTCACTCTCATCTTCACAGGAAAGTCTGAGGTTCCCCTGCTGGTAGATATGACAATGATGAGCCCAGTACAAGAACTTCTATAGAACAGAATAAAAGACACAGCTGTTTCTCACGTATGGGGCAATCCGAGGCATTGTTTCAAGAACAAATGGTTGGCTAAATGCCTTAGTTTGTTCCCATCTCTCTTGTACCTTCCCTGTCCTGCTTGTTCCTAGGGTGACCAGATGTCCTGATTTTATAGGGACAGTCCCGATTTTGGGGTCTTTTTCTTATATAGGATCCTATTACCCCCCACCCCCTGTCCCGATTTTTCACACTTGCTGTCTGGTCACCCTACTTGTTCCAGTGCTACAGCTGGGCAACTCTCAATGTGTGAACCAGGATGGCTTATTTCAGAATACTTTCCTGTTGTTTTTGTCTGTCTTTTCTTTTTTTTAACAGCAAAGAGCATTGTGCCACATCTGGGCCATGTTAAATCACATTAGGGGAAAAAAGAGCCAGGTTGGGTCTTGTGTTCAGTAGTCTGGAAGAAGATACTCCCTTTGGCATTTCCCATTGAACGAGCAAAGAGCATACGTAGGCTCCTGGTGCTAGAAACATCACTTGGTATTGTGGGTTCTCATCACCTATGAAAACTAGGTCCTACGTGTGTTTAAAATGGGCACCCAAAAATGGAAGTATCCAGAATTTGTGACCAGTCTGGAAAGTGTGGACCTTAAACTCTCTGCATCTCTGGTTCCCCATCTGTGAAATAAGGATATTGATGCTTACTCACCTGAATAAGGCACTTTGAGAGCTCTGTGTGAGAACTGCTGTGTAAGTGCTAAGTCTTATAAGATGTGGGAATGAATATGGGATATTCCTCGTACCCTAGGACATTTTAAGGGATGTACCCCTCCATAGAGAATTGACCAGAGAGTCTGAGTGGCAGTATCTCAGAACTATCTTGTCTGTTTCATACCTGAAATGTTCCACTTCCTGGCATCGTTGATCAGAGCTCACAAAGGATTCTTGTGCCTCATCTTTCACAGATATCTTGTTCCTGTTTAGAGGATGGCAGAAGAGGGGAGACAGGAATGAGATGTAAAGCAATCTGAGTGCTTGCAGATGGGTTAATCGTGCAAATTTGCACTGTCTTGTAAGCAACACACAGCATATTTGACAAGGCAAGCATTCTGTACCCTGAGGCAATATTTTTCTGGTGCTGTTTTCTTCAAAGCGAGGTGTCCAGGTCCCCTGTGGATTTCATCTGGGGAGAATTCATCACCAGGAAATAACTACTTGTGTTGAATTTATAGATGAGCTAAACGATTTCTCTTAATGCTGTGCTTTAGCACCTTTTAGTTTTTCATTTTGCCTAAGCAGCACTGTTAGAGGGAAATAAATCTGCCACTCAGATAATGTATTTACCCTTGGTATCAAAATATATACATAAAAATTACAAGGTCATTAACCATAACAAGAGAGAGAAAAATGTACAATATATTACATGGCTGAATCCCAAGCCGGGTAGGACAAATAACAATACACTGAAGAGTATTGCACATTTTCCCTTTTTCGGGGGGACGGGGGGTGCACTTTCCTTTCACAGTGGAAGTTCTAAGCATATATCAGTCCAAATTTATGAGCAGTGTGTTTCATTTATCAAATGCAGATTTCTGTGGCCAGTGATTTACTAGTCAACAACCGGGAGGGCAATAAATAAATAAATAAATATTAACTAACAAAGTATTTTTTAAAAAAAAGCAGCGTCAAGGAACAGGATTTTATCTGCCATTCTCCAAGTAATTTGTTGTCTTTCTGAATATGTGTCGGGTCCAAATCCCTTGTCCTTTCATGGAGTCCAACTTGTGTGGAAAAGGAGCTGTTATTCTCAGCAATATGAAAGCTATGGACTCTTGCGTATATTTTAAGATCTCTTTTGTTTCCTTAGGGCTGGACTGAGACTTCAGGTGCACGTTGAGCTGTATAAACTGCAGCAGCGCTGGGGTAATGCTAGGAGGCATTGTGACTAGAGAGACACCTCTGACACAGCTCCCTCTCTGCTCCCCCCTGGCTTGGTCAAGGGACAGAGGGAATTTACTAGCAGCAGATTATGACACTATGTGTATTGCACGGTCCAGGGAGCTGAGTCAATGCTCTGTCCATTCCCCAGTTCTCTTGCCCACGTGCTCCTAGAGCACCTGCTCACTTACACAATGAAACCTAAAGTCTATGCAGTCCAAAAAGTGGTGTAGGAGCAGGTCTCACTCTCACTCCCGTGTGCAGGCTTGTAGTCCAAGCTGGGTGATGTAATTCCTGGCACAGGCAGACATACACGGGCTAGCTCTGCTCAAGCTAGAACCTAAAAGGGACCATGTGGCCATGGTAGCCTTACGTACCCAGGGGGTTGGGCAGGATTGTTCTCGGGCAAATTTTAAAAAGGAAGACCATCCTGACTTTCAAAATCAAACATGTGTTCTGTATAGTGGGAAGTTAAATGTGGTGTGCCACTTGTTTTCTGTTTACATTTCTCATGCACATAATTCCTTTCCTAACTGAGGGGCAATCTCCAGTGCTGAATGCCCCATCTGATACGTTCCATGCCCACTGCACAGGCATCACGTGGCTTCTTTCAGACATGGGCATACCTGAGCTATTAGCAGTGAATTAGTTTATATGGAAATGGGTGCAGGAAATAAGCCCCAGTGTACACAAGCACACAGCCCAGGAAATGGAATATGACAGCCACAGTTAGATCCTCAGCTACCTTCAGTGGACCTGTGTCAGTTTACACCACCTAAATCCAGTCCCGAACATCCAGGGGTTAGGGTTTCTCATGCAACTGCTCCCTTGCCTAAGGGCTCAAAGAGCAGTGACTCTATCTCAAGTCATCAGAGGCTGACGTATCACCCGCTGTACAATATCTTACCATAGATAGTCATATCAGCCTGTTTTCCAGGGAAAAGTTCTTGTTTCATGGTTTGTTTTATCCTCCAACTCTCTCACAGGTCTGGCAGTGCGGGGGAAGCATGGAAGTGTTACCTTGCTCGAGAGTTGCCCACATTGAACGCACAAAGAAACCTTACAACAATGACATTGATTACTATGCAAAGCGCAATGCCCTGCGGGCTGCTGAGGTCTGGATGGATGACTTCAAGTCACATGTTTACATGGCATGGAACATACCAATGACAGTAAGTGGAAAACACGCTATAACCTGAGTAAATGGAGGCAGAGAATTATGGATATCTGATCTAAATTACCTCTGTCTGTACTGGGTGATACTACTAACCGAGGGTGGGAGGAAGAGCACTTTCATAGCAGCAAATATTCAAAACAAAGAACTCAGCCATCTTAATTTGTTTCCCTAGAATAAGTTCAGTTGCACACTGCTGACCCACCTTTATGACCTAATCCTAACACAGTGAACTGGGCTTATTTGATTCCTGGGAGGAAGTCATTCATTTATGAGATCATTCATCGTTGAGATACTCAAATATTACACAGATAAGCACCCTGAAATATCTACAAATAAATGTCATGGCGCGTGATACAAATAAACACGCTGAGCCTGATTCTCCACTCCGTTTACACCAGTTTATGCTGGGGTGATTCAGTGGAGCTCACCAGCATAAAACCGGTATAATGGATGGGAGAATCAGGCCCAAACGGTCTAGCTTTGTAGTTTGGTGTTTGGTCACAGTGTAGGCATGTTCTATCTCTTGCTATGTGTATATGTAGCACCTAGTTAGGGAGACCAGATAGCGAGTGTAAAAAAATTGGGAAGAGGGTGGAGGGTATTAGGTGCCTATATAAGAAAAATCCCCCAAAATCGGGACATATGGTCACCCTACACCTAGCACAACAGGGTCCTGATCTTGGTGTGGGAATGACGTAAAAATGTGCATCAATAAACATTTTCCTTTAAACCCACTGTGGCCAGGTTAGCATCCCTTTGAAAGGGCTCTTAGATTTCTGACGGGAAGAGAAAAAAGAAACTGCTAAATTTGTTTGCTGGATGGTTTCCACAAATGAATGCTGAGAGTAAAAAATAAAAAAGACATTTAAATAAACATTTATGCCAAAATATGATTTTCTTAAATTTCTCAGGGATTACCTTCTGATGCTGTTTTCTGCACTGAAAACATAAAGCAGTGCTTTGAAAAAAACAGACACATCTATATTGGAAGACATAAAACCAGCAAGAAGCATGGTACATTAAAACTTACTTTCCATAAAAGAAAATGATTGATAAAATATAGATCGTAAAAATAACCCCATTAGTTCTTGAAAAAAAGTTAGGATGCTGCTGTTTCACAGCTCCATTGCACTGGGGCATTAAACTGAGAAATAAAACGTACTGTGCTCTCATTAGCTATAGGATTAGATCATCTGGGTGTTAGAGGAGTAAAAACCTCCCTGCTCAATCAACAAGAACCATCTACCCTATTCATCTCCATATTAAGCATTGAGTGTGTTGTACCAACACCACCAGCCAATAATCTATACACTATATGACCATAGCTTACATAGAACAGACACAACGGTACAGGGAGCTGCAAAGCATGTCTGCTTGTCAGACTAAGCTTCGCTTTCAATTGAACTGACATAGTGAATGAGATGATGGGTCACCTAACTGTAGAATAGTGAGTGCTCTTTGCCAGTGAAATAGATAGGGTAGGCGTTAGCAATGCTACTATCAGCCTACAGCATCCCATTGTAATTCACACCATCCTTTCTGTACTTGATTGCTGTTTCAAGCCACTGAGAGTCTATGAATGGCTTGCATTCTGGCTGGAGGATGGTTGATTGATACACAAAAGCAAAACAATGCTCCTATGAACCAGCAAACTTCTTTAACAAGTCAAGAAAACAGTATGTCAATGCACCAAAGATTTGGTTATACCCTTTCTTTGTAATCCTTTCCCTACCAACTTTAGTGATCCTATGTCTAGCAATTAACCTTCTTCACGCTGAATGATGTGCAATATCAACTTCATATGAAAGATACTCTCCTTCAGTGTAGCCAGAAATAATACACGATTCGTCTTCACATTCCTTTGAATGGATGCCATGTACAGAACATGTAATGAATCTTTTATCAGGCCTGATCTGAGTTTTGGGGGGGCTTAATCCTAATTCCATCCCACTGATTTAACTCTGTAGAAATCAGTTACTGGACTTATACCAGTGTAAAACTGGTATAATTTAGGGCAGTGGTTCTCAACATATTTACCATTGTGGGCTGCATCCAATACTACCTGTATGACCCTGAGGATGTCACATGGGCCGCAGCTGTGTGCTGATTGGGCCGCAGGCAGCCTGCGGGCCGCAGGTTGAGAACCACTGTTTTAGGGTATGTCTACATTGCAGTGTAAGCCCAGGATTTGAACTCAAGCTCAAGCCTAACACTCCTTCCTTCTATACACAAATTGCACTAACCTAGGGCTTGGAACCAGGGTCCCAGAATACCAGGGGGGGTGGAGGGTCCGAGCCTGAGTCAAACTGGGACCCGGGGTTCAAGCCCTGTTGCTTTACAGTGTGGCTGCAGCCCCACTGGACTCATGCTCTGGGAGTCCACCACAAAGTATTCCACAATCCCACGAGCTGACTTTCTTTGTCCTCTGGACAGTCAGCTTGGGCAGACAGTCAAGTTTTCCCACACTGCAACACGAACAAAGGGCTAGAGCGGCCACGTTTTGGGACGGTGGTTGGACTCAGGCCTGCATATTGCAATGTAGATGCTGGAGCCACAGGTTGGGACCCAGGGTTCTGCAATTCCTAACCTGTGGTTACAGATGAGTGTAGATGCTTAAGCCCTAGCTTAACAAACCCAGGGTCTGCTAACTCAAGTTCTACTAACCCTGGGCTTACATTGAAGATGTACCCATAGGGTGTGTCTGCACGGCAACCAGGGGTGTGATTTGCAGCTCATGTAGATGTACCCAGGTTAGCTTTAATATAGCAGTGAGGATGCGGTGGCATGGACTGCCACACCCTCATTGCTATTTTCAGCAAGTTAGCATGGGTACGTCTACACAAGCTGCATTTCACACTCCCAGCTGCAATGTAGACGTACCCTTAAATCAGAATGAGTTTGTAACAAAATCTGTAACCAGGTCAATTACATTAAAGTTTCATTGCAAACCTTTAGCACAGCTCTATGTGCCAATAATCTCAGTTTTTTAAATGTTGTTTTTACTTTGTTTTTTGTTGGTTATTTTGTTCATTTTTCTTCTTTTTCCATTACTATTTATTGTCTGTTGTCCCGGTCAGCTGTACAATAAGTAGCTACTTACAAAGGAAAGGGGGAAATGTAGCTTGCAAACAAACTAAACTCCAGGTTGGTTTCAAGTAAAGAAAACAACTGTCAAGTCGATATGATGGGATTTCTCTGCTCTATTCCTGCTTTGCAGAACCCAGGAGTTGACTTCGGAGATGTTTCAGAAAGAATAGCTCTACGACAGCGACTGCAGTGCCGGAGTTTTAAGTGGTACCTGGAAAACGTCTATCCTGAAATGAGGGTTTACAACAATACAATCACTTACGGAGAGGTGCTGTATGACTTTGAAAATACATCATAACTGCATTAGAGCTTTCCTTTCATCTTAGTTTGTGGGCATCAGATGACACAGTACAATTTAAAATCGCCTTGACAGCAGGAACACAAACTTTCCCATACCTCTTTAATCCAATCTATAAAGTGTAGGCTATAAGCAATGTTACCCTTCCCATTGGAATGCATCGGATTAAATCACTGTCATGAACAATGAGACGCACCTTCCTGGTTTTTCTTTTGGTATACCTCGATAATGTAAATCCAAGGCAATTTGTCCCAAATGGGCCCATCATAAACAACAAAAACAAAAAGTCTGCAATCAAAGCAATTGAGCCAGTTAATCTAAGTTAATTGGAGCAAGTAGGGGTGGCGTGGGCACTGTATCCTCTAAGAAAGGGGTCTCTCTTTGGACCACACTAACATCTTGCAATGGAATACATTGACTTTGCCCATTGAGTTTTGAAAATCCTGCTGGCTGGAGGAAAACTGAGACCCTTGTGAGAGCATGAGTGGACACTACAGCTGGGTGTGTCTTATGCTCAACACATGAGACTCAAAGTAGATAAAAACGTCACTGTTGGTTTGCAATTAGCTTCTGCTTTTCTTCCTCTTCCCACTTTCACCCACAGACCAGTGCTGAATAAGAACTTGCAAAATCTAACCTAATTTTTATAGAAAGATATATTTAAAGATCAGCCCAAACAAAACTCCTGGCTCCAGACACATCAGAATTTTAGAGAGGCTTTGATCCATGCGCATACTTTGTGGATGACTTCATTGATTTACAGTGGCCAATCCAAAAACCAAGATCCAAAACTCCTTGATAATCAGGAAAGCTTGGATGTGCATCTGTGGCTCTGACTCACCTGTACGGCTTTTGTTATTGTTTGTTTTAATAAATATATAAATAGATAATAGCATAATCTCCTATTTTAAAAAAGACTGATATGACTGATATGCCTTGAAATTATGCAAAGTTCTAATAACTTCATTGTCATGCAATTTGTAAAAAAAAATCTGAAATTGCCTACTGAAGGTAAATTCAAATCCTAAGGCAATGAGTTTTCATATGGTCATTCTTCTTTCCTGTGCCATTTGATTGAGCTCATATATAAATAGGTCATTCACTTTAGATATTGACGCAAAGTGCACGTTTTATTGAGTAATATCACTTTGCATCTTAATATAACAGTCCCTGGCACTAAATGAGAAAAGACATTTAGTAAACTCAACCTAAGCTATTAGTAACCGTCAGGTCCAAGAAGGTTGTTAACTGGGAAGTGCATTGGCACTATCAAGTGAGGCCTATTACACCAGGTTTTCAGCAAGTCATTCACTATAAAGAAGTCTGTTTCCATTGAGTGATCAGATAGAAGGTTCTTGAGTTAAACAGGAAGCTTGATGGTCAAGTATCTTAGTTATTAAAATGTATCGAGATAAAGAGTCAAAGCCAGATATTTAGCAGATGTAAATTGGCATAGTTCCTCTGGAGTCTTGCGTCTGTGTTGAAATGTACTGTAGGTGACACTAAGGATGACTTGTTATTAAAAATCTTCCCTTCTGGTTATTTTCTTAGAGAAAGAGAGGTCACTGTAGTCTCTGGACTCTAGTGAGTTTAGGGAAAATAAATGTATTGAGTAGATGGACACAACAGTAAAAATATATTTCTTATTGACACAATTCACAGTCTTTAAGGCCCAGTCATAAAGCTGTCCATCTTCTTTAGCCCGTGTAGTACCTTAGTCGTAAAATAATCCTACTGAAGCTTAACCGTTGGTATATCTTAATTCCCTCACCAAATTGCCTGTTATGTTTCATGTAGTATATGTAGTAATCAGTATTTATTGAGTTTCTGGTATTTTATGTGTGATGTTTTATTATACCTGTGCAGTAATTACACAGTCATTTGTATAACATCTGGATGCCTGAAAATTTGCTCACCCTCTGAACTAAACCTGACCTGTTGATGGTTTCAAGATGTTCAGTTAAGTGACTCCTTTGTAAAATCAGAATAGGTGTTCGTCACATATTCATGTTCATCTGCACGCCCTGGTTCCAGGCAATTCCAAAATATAAGAGAATCTGCTTGTGTGATATTTCTAGCCTGACTAGGAAGGAAGAAACACCTGAAATCCACCATATTTTCACCCTGATTTTTCAAACTGATAAAGCCCATATGGTCTGGGAAAGTATCTGAACTTCTGGTTTAGTTGATGACCTGCACCTAACCTTTGAACCTTTAGAAATTCTCCCAGTACTATTTATTATTATTGTGTTGTCTCATGACAATACACCAAACACAATACATTACTCCCATACTATATATGTTCCTACTTCAACTAAGGTTCATTATATATACTTTCGCTTTATATACACCCTGCAATAACATATAAAGTGCTCTACTATCAGAAACATCCCGGTGTAATTAGTCGTGTTTTCAGCATAGAGAACTAAATTCTCCCTTATTTACTCCAGTGTAAATCTACTGAAATCAACATAATTAATCTAGATTTACACAAGCTTAACTTGGAGCAAGATTTGGCCTGTGGCTTTTACAGTGAATTTTAGTGGTTTATGATCTTTGTGCAATTACTTGAAAATACAGATCTGGTCCAAGTTAATAGTTTGACAAGTTTGTAGCACATTTTGATAATGCAGCTGTGTTTATTCATATAGGAAATTCACTGTCAAAGTCTCTACGAGTGTCCTAGGAAAGGATTAATGGAATGTCACTGCTGGTGAATGAGAGTGTTTTCCTTCCTCAAAGAAATGTTGACCGTCTTCATATCCTCTTTGCTTTGATAATTGTAAAGCGACAAAGTTTCAATCAACTGGGCTTGTATTATGGATAGCGGTGCCTAAAGCAATTGGTTTTTCTGCTCTCATTGTAGGTACGTAACAGCAAAGCTAGCGGCTACTGTTTAGACCAGGGAGCAGAAGATGATGACAAAGCGATCCTCTACCCATGCCATGGAATGTCCTCCCAGGTAAACTGACCAAAATTCTTGTTACCGTTAAGTGGTGGAAAGCCTCAGACCTAAACAAAGAAACTTTAAAGGAAACAAAAAATGATTTGATGGATTTTGGCAAAATTTGGGCTTTTGGTGCCTACTAGTTTATCCTTTGAGTAACTGAGGATCTTTTTTCTGAGGCAGCATTGATCAAATGAAAGCTGAAAGAGCAAAGCCACGTCTATACACAGAACATGCATTGGGTTAATTAAAAGTGGTTTAAAAACTGACTTGGAGCAATTCCTTAGAGTAATTGGAGCAAATCCTTGCATCAGACAAGCTAAACTGATGTAAGCCAGTTTTAAATTTGTTTAAGAATGTCCACACCATTTTGAGGCCTTGTCCGCACATACATCACATGTTTAGTGAAACTGATATAAGCCCCTGTGTGGACAGTCTTATTTTGGTTTGTGTATCTTATTTCAGACTAGCTTAAACCTGCTTGTAATTGATTTAAACGACATCAAAATAAGCTTGGTTTAAACCATAATAAGATTTTCCACCCAGCTCTTCGCACCAGCTCAACTAAATCATTTTTAAAACCTACCTTTAGTTAAACAGGTGCCCCTTTGTATATAGCAGGGGGAGCTTGCATCTATAAAGTAGTTGCTACCAAAAAGTTTCATTTGGACCTGAATCTTGCAAGTGCTTATGCATGTGTTTAACTTTATGTGCATGATTAGTCCCATTGAATAAGATCGCTCAGGGGCCTGATCCGACGCCCACTGAAGTCAATGGGAAACTTTCAGTTGACTTCAGGGGACTTTGAATCAGGCCCCAAGTTATTAAATTAAGCATGCACATGCTTGCAGGATTGGGTCCTTGGTTTGATTAGCAATGAGCAGTAAATAAATGTCACACCTACACACAAAAATCCCAGTTGATAGTTAAAATGGGTTTTTTCCCCCTGGAGAAGAAGGCAATCAAACTGTGTGACACGTTTCATACATAAAGTAAAGCTAATGGAATGTATGGTTTTGCCATTTTTATGAGCAGTCAAAACATTTCAGCTATTCCTATGCCAACAAGTTTCACAAAGAAACAAGCTTTAGTCAGAAAGCTCTTTTCACGGCTGAAAACTATTTTTCACTTTATAGAATTGTCATTCCTTCTGCTATGAAAGCCGGAGCCTGATTAAACAATACAGCCCTAGGAATTTTGCCTGCATTAATATTGCAGGATGAGTTCCAAAGCTTTCCCCTTGGGTGGGTATAATTCAGCTACCCCGGTCACCTGTCAGGTCATCTATGGTTCTCTAGTATTCTAGCAGGATCGCAACCCAGCGCTTTTTCCCTCCATACCTGTACAATATCAGCCTGTGCCAACTCGGTATCGCTCATTGGTGTGGATATGTCCTTCAAAAGGATCATGCAGGTAACTGTCCAAGCCAGTTAAATAGTTTAGTCAATTATTGTGGCAGTGGTGGTTTGTTAATTATTTGCATTACAATAATGCCTAGAGGCCCCAGTCAGAACTTCATTGTGCTAGCTGTAAAAACATATAGTGAGCTATATCCAGGCCTAGAATAGTTTACAATGCAAATAGCCAAGGTAGACAAAGGAAGTAGTAGTATCCCCATGGGGAACTGAGGCACAGAGAGATTAAATGACTTTTCAGAGGTCGCACAGTGAGTCTGTGGCGGAGCTGGGAATTGAACCCAGCTATCCTGAGTCTCAGGTAAGTGACTTCACCACTAGATCATATTTTTGAATGGAATAATTTTGGGTAATGTCTTTTCATTAGAAGCTGGGTGAATAAGTCACAAATGTTTGCAATGCCGTGACCTTCTTTGATGAAAATATGTTCAAAACATTTTTCCCCATTCTTCTCCCAGGTCTAGTGGCAACCCTAACTGGGTTTGGTGGTATGTGTGTGCCATAGATATAAATCTCAGTGGTCGTTGGGCGTTTGGTGCATCATCAAAAACAGATCATGTTGGAATTGCAAAGATCCATAACATAACTATCTAGGAAGTGATGAGACCCAGAGAGTCCTTTAAAATGTTTGGGGTTTTTTTTAGGCTAGCCTAGACTTTATACTATGTTGTACTTTACACTATACCTGTAACATCACAGGTCAGGGCCACTGCACCTCTAGCTCCCCTCAGTGGTTCAGCAAGGGCACCTACTCCCAGGCTTCCAGCTCCCCAGCTGTTGCCTCTCTTGGATGGAGACCCACATCTCTCTCTTCTGACCAGGGTATTTCCAGGCTGCACAGTTCCTTGCCTTCACTGTATATTTCCCAGCAAAGAGAGTCTGCCTAAACAGACCTGCTTCCTTTCTCCTTAGAGACTAGTAACTGAATGATTGCTACAGATATAAGTTACCACATAGAGTTTTCTAGGCAAGCCTACTTTATTCCTACAGGAAAAAGCACAACACAGAAAAAACATTAAAAACAATTAAAGAAGCTACACGCATGCTAATAAGCTTACCAGAGTTCATCCCCACTCTCTCATGGGTGCTGGCAACAGCAATCTTTCAACACCTTTCCCTAGGGCCTTCCTTGAGGTCACAAGTTCAACAGCACTTCAGCTCAGAAAAAGCACATAATCTTATGAGGCCTCAGTAAGCTAACTCCTTCCAATCCTCTCCTAAGGATGGGGGTCCTCCATGGACCAGGGGACATGTCCATTTGCTGGGTCAGAAAGAAAGCCCCAAGTCAGCCTAAACTCAGGCTTTTTATCCAAAAGTCTTTTCTTTGTCTTACTCCTCTTTGGAGAATCCAGTTTGAACTAGTATACGCATATCTCTCCAAGGCATATCTTCCAAAAGTTGGTTTGGAGAGGGAGAATTTGCATTTCCCTCACCTCAGGATATTTCATAAGGAAATCCACTTCACACACATTGTTCCAGAAGGATCTTTGAACTGCCTCATACCTTCCAGAGATTGTATTAATTGTGTGTTCCTGCTAAAGAAGGTCTATACAATCTCACAATAGTACATAAACATTTGAACATAAGAACGGCCATACTGGGTCAGACCAATGGTCCATCTAGCCTAGTATCCAGTCTTCTGACAGTGATTGGTGCCAGATACTTCAGAGGGAATGAACAGAACAGGGCAATTATCGAGTGATACATCCCCTGTTACCCAGTCCCAGCTTCTGGCAATTAGAGGCTTAGGGACACCCAGAGCATGGGGTTGCATCCTGATCATCTTAGCTAATAGCCATTGATGAACCGATCCTCCATGAATGTATCTAATTCTTTTTTGAACCCAGATATACTTTTGGCCTTCACAGCATCCCCTGGCAACAAATTCCACAGGTTGACTGTGTGTTGTGGTGTAGGATTACTTCCTTAGGTTGTTTTAAACGGTTGCCTATTAATTTCATTGGGTGACTCCTGGTCTTGTGTTAAGTGAAGGGGTAAATAACACTTCCCTATTCACTTTCTCCACAGCATTCATGATTTTGTAGACCTTTATCAAATCCCCTTTTAGTTATCTCTTTTACAAGCTGAACAGTTCCAGTCTTTTTACTCTGTCCTCATATGGAACCTGTTCTATACCTCTAATCATTTTTGTTGCCCTTCTCTGTACTTTTTCCAATTCTGGTATATCTTTTTTGAGATGGGGCAACCATCATTGCATGCGGTATTCAAGGTGTGGGCGTAGTATGGATTTATATAGTGGCATTGTGATATTTTCTGTCTTATTGTCTTATCCCTTTCCTAATGGTTCCTAACATTGTTAGCTTTTTTGACTGTCACTGCACATTGAACAGATGTCTTTGAAGAACTATCCACAGTGACTCCAAGATCTCTTTCTTGAGTAATAACAGCTAATTTAGACCCCATCATTTTGTATGTGTAGTTGGGATTATGTTTTCCAACATTCATTACTTTATCAACATTAAATCTCATCTGCCATTTTGTTACCCAGTCACCCACTTTTGTGAGATCCCTTTATAACTCTTTGCAGTCAGTTTTGGACTTAACTATCTTGAGTAATTTTGTATTGTCTGCCAACATTGCCACCTCAATGTTTACCTCTCTTTCCAGATCATTTATTAATATGTTGAACAGCACTGATCCCAGTACAATATTAGCCAAACAAAGAGAGTGGGATATTAGGCACATGCTTTTCCAATTTATAGGGGATACTTTCACAAATATATTGACCTATAATAATTATACCACAAAATTTTCTCTAAATCCTAAATGAAAATGTCTGGCTACACCATAAGAATTTAATTGAACAAAATCCAGCCATTTTGTTCTCACTATAGTAATCAAAGAACTACGTAATTTACTATCTAAATCTATGTTCTGAAGATGTCAATTAAAGAAAAGAGTAGAACCTTGTTAATTTGTTCTTATAACTCAGAGACCATTGCAAAATACTAAATTTAGCTAATTCAGGTTAGAGTGTACAACCCTTACACATGTTGGTTATCACTTGCTCACACGAATAGTCCTATTGACTTAATTGAGCTTTAGAGTAGACCAGTAAGGCCCTATTCAGGAAAGCACTTAAGCATGAGCTTAACCTTAAGCGGATGCTTATGTGCATTGCTGAATAGGGATGGAGTGAAGCGCATGCTTAAAGTTGAGGTAAGTGGTGTTTAAGCACATGTTTTAAATTAAGATTATTATGAAAATTATTTTTAATTTGTATGCTTCAGTGCTTTTCTAATCAAGGTTTATTTCCTGAATCGGGCCCAATGTATATAATTTTTTTCTTACAAATGTTTTGAGGTTTTAAAATGAAATCTCTTCATCCCATACTTGTATTGCTGTTACTTTACTTTTTTTAATGAACATAGATATTATTTAAATCCAGGACTTTGGTTTTTTCTGTGATGTCATTTTAATTTCTGTTGAAGCACCATCTAAATCAGACCTGCATTAATGAACAGTCATTCGTACATAAATAAAGTCTGACCTTATCACCAACTAAACAATTAGCTGACGTTCAGCCATACATATTATTGGCTTGGAATCTTAGCTTGTACATCACCATGGAAGCATAGCAAGATTTTCAAAATATAAATATTGCCTATTGTGGTTAATTGCAAGCCAGTGACAGGTCGTTCCTTATTACAGCAAAGTGGATAGATGCTCAATTCACACTGCCAAAGTATCCACCCTTGGTGGTCTCATTACAGGACACTTGACTGATACTTTCAGAGTAAATTTAGATGGAGTAGCCTTTGGTGAAGTTAACAAAATAGAGTTTCTTAATTAGATGCAAATGAGATTTCCAGGAAGAGTCCGTTTCAGTGAGAGGCTGCCAAGGCTCATACAAAGAGTTCAGTCTCTAGCACAATTTTATTTTACCCAGAAGGTCCCAGTTTAAAGTCCTCGTAGAAGGTCTCTTTTCAATCGCTAATATGCTGCCTAGTGCCAGTAGTGATGGAGATAGAGAGGTAAATTGTTCTGACTGTAATTTATTTTGCAGGTTCAACCTAGAAGTGGGTCACCCTGATTCTCTCATTTGATACAATACACTTCACTCGTGAAAGAAACGGGGATGGGATGCATCAGTTGTGGTTTAGGAAGTTGCTAAGGTTGAACAACAGCATGAAAAGCAGAGTAGTCATTTCCCCAATGTCTACTGGTCTTAAGCTTCAGTTAATGTCTAGCAGAGACCAGGTTCTCCCAGGCCTTTCCAGCAGGCTCTTAGTTCATTTCATGTGGGACGTAACAAGTCCCCCTTGCCTTTCAGGATCACATGGCACTGCCCCAGTAGATGATACGGATTCTCTTCTGAGGGTTGGGAATTCTTCCCACTGAATTAGCACTTCCATCATGCAGCTATAGTACTCAGTGTATGATGGACCAGACTTGTTCTTTCCCACGAGAACTGATGTGTCAAAAGAAGGTAATAAACTGCTTCTCTCGAGTGTGAGCATGGGAGCCCCAGAATTCTTGATCTTGCAGAGACAGCCAACATGGCAAAGATCTGTTGAGTCCTGAAAAGCCCTGGAGCCCAATTGCGAGGGAAGGTGAGCAAGAAGTTTGTTTGGAAGGGCTCTGAGGAAGCAGGGACCAGGCATTTATTAGCATCGGGGAGAAGGAGGTGCATGGATCTGAATATTTTTGAACCAAAATGGCACTGATATTTGGTTTCCACATAGCTGGTTGATGGACGGTACTGCCTGGAATGCTGCTGAAGGTGCCCTCCCAGATAGCGGCTTGCAGCTGGGCTGGCTTATCTGCTGAACAGCTGTTGTGGTCCCGAGCACAAGGAGGAGCAGCTCCCTAGTGGGAGAAGTATTGTCATCTCACAGACTAAGCACATGATGTTAATCTTAGTTCTGACACCAACTCTTACTTAATCAAACCACTTCATCTCTGTGCTGGATGTGTAAAATGGGGATCATGATATTTACCTACCTGTGTCATAGGAGTATTTTGTTTATTGATTAGTTAAT